TCTTGCCGCCCACGTGACCGGGCAGGCGGCACCAACGCTGCGGCGGGGGAATCCAGCGCCGGCAGCGGAGGGGACGAAGCCCCACTCAGGACCAGAGACATAAGTTAAATCCATTTAAAAGCAGCTACCCAGAGCCACTCCTCAGGGAAGAGAGAAGGAAACTCCAGCCTTTCCACCGGAAGAAGAGTCCCAGCGACCTCCCCACCCAGAACAAGCAGAAATGGTTTGTACCGATTGCGCGCGACTAGCGCTTGCTAGCGACTGAGCATGCGCAGCGTCCCTGTGGCGCACTCAGACTCTAAGGGCGTGGCCAACGAGTTTAGGGGGAAGGGAGCGATTTGAAACAGGAAATGGGCGGAAGTGGTGGTGCACGCCTGTAATTCCAGCACTGGGAGGCTGAGCCAGGAGGGTTGCCACGAGTTCAAGACTAGGCTGAATAGCGAGACTCGTCTCAAAAAGAGCCCAAAACAAGCAAACAAAAACAAAAACACATGGAAGGCCCAGGATTTAGCCACGTGGTTATGCAACCTGCTTCCCAAGCACAAGGTCGTGAGTTTGAGCCCCAGTACCAAAAATAAAATAAAAAATTTAAAAAACATTAAATTGTCTTAGGGAGGCGGAAAATAAGACGGGGCGGGGTGCAGCTCAGTGGTGAGCACTTGCCTAGCATGCTCCAGGCCCTGGGTTCCATCCTCAGCAATGCAGGGTGGGGAAAAAAGACAAATATTATTTTAAGTAGAATTCACATTAGATATTGGCCTAAAGTATGGAGAAACATGGAAATGGCAAGAGTGGTGTATGTGAGGCAGTGGCGTTTGGGTAATCACAGAAATAAAATAAGCAAAGGCCGAGGGAGACAGCCCTGAGTGTGTTTGGAAGGGAGACCGAGGCCTCTTTAGAACTTGCCATTTACTCTGACAAGATAAGCAAACACTAGCAGGGTGTAGGGGCGCAGGCTGTAATCCCAGCTCTCTAGGGGGCTGAGGCAGGAGGGTCACAAATTTGAGCCCAGCCCCAGCAATGCAGCCGTTTAATAAGACCGTCTCAAAATAAAAAGGGCTGGGATGTAGCTCAGTGTGAAGGCCCTGGTTTCCAGTCCCAGTACTGCAAAAGAAAAAGCAACCACTGCTGTGTCCTAAGCAGGAAAAGGGCTTTTCTGATTTAGGAGTAACGGGATCTCTCGGGATGATGGGTAGGAAACAGAAGGAGAACGGAAGCTAGGAGAGCGGAACTGGTATGACTGGGAGTAACTTTGGAGGCCCGGATTCGGCCAAATCTGCCACCTGCTGGACCCCACCGGGATTGCAGCACCTGCTGCCATGAGTGCTGCACCGGCCAGGGTGGGACAGCTAGCTGTTCACAGGTGGAGAAGCAGGGCGTGGTGATGCACACCTGTCATCCCAGCACGCCGGAGGCTGAGGCAGGAGGATCGCTGTGAGTTCGACACCAGCCCGGTCTGCAGTGAGTTCCAGGTCAGTCTCAACTACATAGCGAGACCCCGTCTCAAAAAACCCCACATAAATGGTGGGGAAATACAGAATGGGTGCGAGCGATTGGGGCTGAGAAGAAATGGAGAGCAGAGGAAAAAGTTCCAAGGGAGGCGAGGTGCACGTGATTTTAGGCAGAGACGCAAGGCACTCAGCCTCCGCCCACTGGGAAGGGCCTGGCGCCCCCGGTGGTTTTGTGTTTTGTTTTGTTTTGCAGTACCAGGGATTGAGCTCATGGCCTTTGCACTGAGCCACATCCCGGCCCCTTTTCTGTATTTTAATTGAGACAAAGTCTCACTGATTTGTTGAGCCTGGGCTGGTGCTTCCGATCTGCCCGCCTCGGCGCCCCGGGTGTGCGCCATCCCTCGGGCTTGTCCTCCCCTTTGGAGCACCAGATGGTTGAGCATAAACGGCAGCTGCTGTGGCTCCGGTGAGTCTCACCGCCTCCATGGCTGCAGCTTGGCTAAGAACAGCCCCCAGCATCCAGGCTCTAGTGCCGCAGAACAGGAAGCTGGGGCAGGCGTCCCTCAGGTGCAAAGGAGATCCCACAGCTGGGGTCCTGCCGTGGTGACGGCCGACGACACAGCCCGAGTCTGTCCACAGGACAGGGTCGGCCTCCCCCGGGAAAGGGTCCTGCTGTCACAGAATCCAGGCCAGGGCGGAAGCCACCACCTGTCACCTCAGCATTCCGGGAACCCAACCTTGTCACTTCACAGAGACCCCGTGTCAAAAATAAAAAGGGCTGGGCAGGGACAGCTCAGCCACACCACACCTGCCTCGCAAGTGCAAGGTCCTGAGTTTGATCCCCAGTACCCAAAGAAAGAAAAATAAAATGAAAAGGGCCGGAGATGTGATACAGTATGGAGGCCCCAGGTTCAATCCTTGGTATAACCAGAAAAAAGCCACTGGGATATTTTTTAAAAATACCAGCGGCTCCCAGACACCACTCACTGCCGTGGTGAAGGCTTTGGTGGTTCTGACAGCCCTATCAGGGACACTCAGCCCTCACACAGCAGCTCTGATCAACTGGAAGCCGCAATGCACGTTATCGGCCACGAGCTTCCCCTGCGGGTGCCGGAGGTCAGTGGGTCAGCTCTGCAGGCACCGAGAAAGCTGCTGTGAGGCTGGCACCCTCGCAAGGGCCGAGTGTGGTCCACAGTGGGGCGGGGCTGACACGGTGTGGGGCAATCCTGGTCACCTGGGCCCTCATACAGAGCTGGGCCTTCCCAGATTCCCTGGCCCTGGCCCGACTGGCCCCAGGGACCCACGCGTGTCAACCCAGACCGCTCAGGGCATCACTGCCTGGCTGCCCTGTGCCAAGGGGACGGAGCAAGGACCAGCCTAGAAGCTGCTTCACGTTGTTTACTGTCTGTGTCTGGAAGAACCACCTTGTACAACAGGCGCTGCCCTGGGAGGGGCGCTAGTGCAACAAAACAAGGCCCTCGGGGAGCTCTCTCCAGCCGGCTGGCCCTGTGGGGCTGGGGCCTGGATGGCGCCATGCTGGTGGTACCACTGGGCTGGGCTAAGGCACAGGGCCAAGGGCGCCACAGATCAGCAGGTGGCGAGGTTGCTGCCCTCCACCTGCAGCCCCTTGCTCAGGAGGAAGGCGTCCTGCCTGGGGTCACGGCCCAGGAAGAGCTTCAGCATGGCGCTGGCATCCTCGGACCCGCCCGGCCTCAGGATGGTGGTCCTGTAGTCCATGCCCACCTGCGGGGCACAAGGCGGGGCTGGCTGTGGGTACAGGCCCCAGGGTGTGCCTGCCCCCGTGACTGGTCCAGGAGTGGCTATGGGTGCTGGGGCACCGTGGGTGAGGGCGGGAGACACATAACCTCAGACATCGAAGTGCATGGGCAGCACCAGAGGGGCCAGCGTGGGCACAGATGGATGTCGCGCGCACACACACACACACACACACACACACACACACTGGTCATAGGGGTCGGAAGGGCAGACCAAGGCTGGGAATGAGACCTGGCTCAGGGTTGAGGGTGCAGTCTGTCACCTTCCCTGGCCGCAGGACCAGTGCTCTCCCACAGCGGGGCTGGCGTAGGCTGCGATCTGCCTGTGGGGGTCCTGGGCCCACCCTGCCCCATCCGCCCTGTCCCCAACCTCACCTTGGGGCTCAGCACACCCTCCTTCTTGAAGCGCGTGTGGAACATGTCCATGGAGAACACCTCGCTCCACAGGTAGCCGTAGTACTGGGCGTCGTAGCCACCTGCCAGGTGGCCGAAGGTGGCCGGCATGTTGGTCCCTGGACAGACAGGGACCAGTGAGTCTGGGGCAGGTGAGCCCAAGGATCTCACGGACCCCACCCACCCACAGCTCCATGAGTCAGGCGACAGGACACTGTGCGCCGCTCCCGATCCTGCACAAGAAATGTTAGCCAGGGGCTGTGGTGCATCCCAGCTGCACGAGGCTGTAGGCTGAGGCAGGGGGGTCACGAGTTCCAGGCCAGCTTGGACCACTTAGCAAGACCCCATCTCAAAATAAAGTCAACTGGGGTGCAGCTCAGCGGTACGGCACGCCTGGGCTGGATCCTCAGTTAAAAAAAATGTAAACGCTCGTGGGACCTTACACTGGCAAACACCACCCGCTAAGGTGACTCTCTCTACACACACGGGGTCGCACGGCCATGCACACACCAAGGATGGGCACCGCCCTCCTCAGCACAGGGAAGCAAGCGCATGCTGGCCTCCTGCCTCCCTCCTCCTCTCCTGAGCCTGGAGGTTGCTCCTCTCGCTCCATTGGCTGCTCCAGGACCCAGGAGCTGACCTGTTTCGCGTCCCCTCCACAGGGAGGCCGGCCAGGGACTCAGGGCTGAGAGCGGCTCTGGGTCCTCTCCTGTCCCCGAGAGCGTGGGGACA